GGTCATGACATGCCTACTGCAATAATCTTTTGAAATAGATGCTCTTTAGAAGGCCAGATGAAACTCAAATACTTTGGCCACCTAATGAGAAGGAAGGACTCTCTGGAGAAGAGTCTAATGCTGGGAACAATAGATGGCAAAAGAAGGAGGGAACGGCAGAGGATGAGGTGGCTAGGTGGAGCCACTGAAGTTTAGATGAACTCCAGGGGATGATGGAGGACAGGAAAGCCTGGAGGAGTGTTGTCCATGGGGTCCCGATGGGTTAGATGCAACTAATAGTCAACATATCATGTATAGTTCTTTGGGCTATTAAAATGTATTGATGTGTTAACAGTTTTCAGTATCTCTGTTTTCCTTAACATGAAACAGTGTAAACTGAAACAGTGAAACAAGGTAATAAATGCTACTTAATGTTTTTCAGTGTTCTAATTTAAAAAAAGTAAATCACATAGTATTTTTTCCTGAAATATTTCCAGTCAAATAGCGTATTGGAACAAGATATTTAACATGAGGACCTCTTAAAGTTTTGTTTACAGAATAGAAGTAAATGAAATGTTTCCTGTGCAAATAACTATGTAAATTAATTTGCATAAGAAAATATGGTAGAACACTTTTGTAATATAAAATTTTCTGGGAAACTTAAATCATGAACTTCCTGCAGTGGAGCAGCAAATTTCAAGGAAATATTTGTTATCCTATCTATTAATTCCTATAAAACATTGAACTCTTGTTTTTACTTTGCTTGGCCTTGTGGTCTTGCTGCTGTGATGTCATAAATGCTAATCTTCTAGTCCACCACCTTTTATACATGAAATATTTGAATAAGATATCAAAGAACAGTGCAGTAAACTGTTGGTTTAGCTGTACCGTTCCCCACTGAATGGTTGAATCCCTTGTGGATATTTTTAATCTTCCGACACTAAAATCTTCTTTTCTAAGTACCTGAGAGAGCTTAAAAAGCCATCTTAAGACACTAGTTTGCATGCCTTACAAAAGTTATTTACGGCCAACTGTTAACTGAATGTGGAAAGAAGGTTAGGGAACAATTCTCTGTATTTGCCATTCCTCAGTCATCCATGGAGTAGCCTGTTCTGTCTAAATTTGCATAGAATTGTACCCTTAGTAGTTGTTGTTGTGTGTGTGTGTGTGTACTCTTATCGATGCACTTCCTGACGCAGGGATTTTTAGTAACCAGAAATGGTTCTCTGTAGGATTCACAAGACTGGTAGGACATTGAACTGCATAGCAGTGTTGGAATATGGTTGTCCTTGTGTGCTTTTAGCAGAGACATTACATGCAACTCAGTAAGAAAAAAAAAATAGGTAGGGACATCAGAGAAATCCACAAGGGATTCAAATAAGTTTGGATTTTTATTTTTAAATATGTTCTGTGGATTCTTCAGTGGACCAAGCGGACCAGCTTTTTCTGAGTTGCATAATTTCAGCAGACTGGTGAACTCTCTATATAAGTGTGTGTGTGTTTGTGTAGTTTAACTTGTAGGAGGATTTGTACCAGAATGCTTTAGCATAAATGGAACAAAATTCTGTACTTTGCTTTAAAAATGTTTCAGTTTTTGTTATGTTCTTAGAAGCACAAACAAAAATCTAGCATGCTTGGTAGTATTAGACTAGCTAATCCCTCAAAGCTGGTGGTGGTTATCCATCATTATTAACTGGAATGTAGTGTAATTTTGTAATGAATCATAAGTGTTTAATGATGGAAAGAAAAGCTTTTGTCTAAAGAAGATTTCTTTAGGTCAAGGTAGATTTAAAACAAGACATTCTGGTTTACATGAATTTTTTTCCTTTTACTATGTCAAATTAATCTAGAGATTGAGTGTTAATTTTTTCTTCAGTATTAAGTGTTTGAGTGGATCTACTTTTTCATGCATTCCTGTACTCATAAACATGGCACTATGATAAATGAGAAGTATCAGAAGTTATCCTTGATATTAATCATCTGCTCTGATTTTAGAATCTTTTTAGTTTTCCTTTCCATCTTTCCTTCTCTGCCTTAAGAAATGATCTGTCCGCTTTTCTTCTCATTCTGTTTTGGCTTTGCTCAATTTATAAATCTCTCATCATTTGTTATGTGACATTATGTAGGAGGGGGAGAAATGAAATACAGTAGGTTAAATTAGCAGGGTATTTATTATAATGGATTTCAACACTCTATAATAGCACATGCCTTCCTTTGATCTATGTGATGCCTTAGCTAATAAAGCAATAGATTTAATAACCAAAAAACAAAACAAAACAAAACACCCCACACCCAACCCTGGGCAACATACCCTTTTGTGTTTTGTTTAAAGTAGCATAGTATGTGGGGTGGAGCACGGTTTGTAGAAATTCAGATTGACAATCTCTTCTGCTGTTCCTCACCATTGCCCACAGTGTATGTGAAATAGAATAACAGTGTATGTGAAATAGAATAAGAATACCCCCGGACACTGAGAGGGTATGTTTCAAGGGAGAGATTTGCTGACATAACCCCTTCTGTGTCAGCCCCTCCTGACTGAATAAGCTAAGTAAAACATAAAAGCTCAGAAGGAAGATGGTGAAATGTGATGGTGAGAGCTACTGAGATACATTTATTTATTTACTTAACATTTTTATTTTGCCTTTAACCAAACAAGCTCCTAATATTCTCTTACAAAGATAAGCGATTCAGTCCATGCCCTCAGACCTAGAGTTTAAAAGACAGAAAAGCAAAGGGGGCTGAGAGGTAGGAAGCCCCCCATGCTAAATTTTGGTTGCAAAATTCAGTGGATGATGGGTACAACTCCATGGTAAGTAGCCCTCCAGTGTTCAACTTAGATTTTTTTTACTCCTTGGTCACATAATAGGATCTGACTCACTCTTCAAAGATCTTGAAAGTAATTTTTCCCTCTCTCTCTCTTTCTCTCTCTCTCTCTATATGATATTTGTCAGTTTAGTTTGCACATAAAAACAAATGCTAAGGAAACAATGGTACAAGGGTTAAATAACCGTACTTTGAAAGAAGCACCAGTAGGTAGCATTCAGAGGAAGGCATTTAAAGAAATGTATAAATTTTATTTCTTCCCTTTTATTATTTAGTATGTTTTGATATGTTAAATGCAGGTACATAAGGAATGTTGATGATGATATACTTAAGTGGATTTGTTTTGTCTTCCTAATTTAACAACTCCTGATATGCAAATATGTATCATTCATATATTTGTTATGCTAAATTCATTTACCATAATTTAGTATTCATCTCACACATTTCCTCATTTGTCCTTGAACAGTATTTTTGAAGAATCAAACTTTAGGGGTATACAGAAATGTTAGCTGCCAAACTGCCATATGATTGTTTGGAAATGTGTATTTCTAAAAAAAGAAAGTAAGGGAAATTTAAATAGACTTAAAATTCTGTTTTCTAAATGTTCTCAGTTTATTGCCTTACTTCAATTCAAAGAGTCTCTGCTGGTGAATGCTCTGCCAAACCATTATCTGGTGCTATGGGAAGGGGCCCTGTGCTTGTTCCCTCTTCTTGTGCATCTACCTCAGTTCAATGAATTACTTCCTAGTTAGATCAAACTATTGTTTGCCATTACATCAGGACCAGAAAGTCTGGTTTGCTCCTGTCTCCAAACAAAGGTTTGCTGCTCCAAATCAACTCAGTGTGTTCTAGTGGAAATCCATGTTTAAATCCTACTCAGACATGAAACTCTTGAGCATTACAGTTGGCCCTCCAAATGCACTGCTGCAAAAGTGGAAAAAATCTCTCTCCCCTCCCCCACCCCCAACCGTAGCCCTTAATACTCTTGCCCATACACAAACTGGATTGCCTCTCCCTCTCTCCTTCTCAGACCTTGGTCTGATACAGCAGGACTCCTTTTCTTCATTTATTACATTCTCTGTTTTTATTCCTTGCTCCCCCTTCCACCCAGCAGTGCTGCCTCTTTTTTACCAAGGAAATGCCAGAGATATTTTTCTCTTTGAATGGGAGTGGCAAGAAGGCATGCTTTGGTGCCTCCTCTCCTCTCCTCTCCTCATAGTGATGACAGTTTTTCTCAGCAGGCTGTAAAACTCCAAAAAAAAAAAAAAATCCATTTAATTATTCATGGCAAACTTGCGAATGATCAAATCTGCAAAAGTTAATCCTGCGAAAATCAAGGTTTGACCGCATTTTATTTTAAAAATTGATAGACTTGGTCTTTGTTCAGAAAAGGATTTCATGGAGTTGCACACAAAAATCACATATTCAATCCAGTAAAAATAACATCAGACTGAAACATCAATACACTAAATTTGAGAATCATTCAGTTACTAATTTAAAATACTCGAGCAGAGAAAAGGTTTCAGCCTTTGCTTAGTAGTACTGTATTTTAAGGGAGATTCCTAGTGAACATTCCTAGTAAACATGAGATAGAGCAAGAGTAGTTCAGCAAGGTGCCATACCGTACTGAAAAGTATGAGTGGAAAGAGGACTTTTCCAGATGACACAAATACTTGATTTGAAATATATAACTATACTATGCACTTTATAGTGCTTGAAGAATGTAAAGAAATTCAGTGTCCAAATGGAACCTTTTAGGTGAAGGGTGAATAAAAGCACAAAATTGTGTCCAGTGATCTCTGAGTTCATAGTGGTAGTTTTAACTCTGCACAGTGACAGGATTTACTTAGTTTTGTGTTGCATCAGTTCTTGTCCATTTAGGCCAGGTTTGCATTTACACATTACCCTGATGGCCCCCGGCAACTAGAAATTTCATGCTGGGTACTGTATGGATTCCCGCAGGGTATGAGCTGGGAGGAGATCGCAAAGCCCCCTCTTCCGTAGCTCGAATGTAGAAGCTGGGATGTTCCTGTGCAGTGGCTTGCATGCTAAAAATGGCAGCTGTTGTACATCTCAGAACTCAGTGGGGGAATTAATTTGTGGCAGTCTGCCATGATGTGCAAAGAAGGTCGTTATTTTAATAATTTTAATAATCAATTGTTTCCTAAGTTAATAAACTTTTTTTGTTTCTATTGTAGCTCCTGTTATCAGCAGATTCAACAGAAGAGTATCAGGTAAGATTTCCCTTACTATTGTAATGTATCTTAGGTTAATTTCAAATATTGTTCAAACTTTTAAATCACAACCATTTACAGTATGGTTGCTTCTATATTCTTACCGTGTTGGTGAGCATGTTTTAAGAACATATAATACCTTTTTAAAACGTATTTTTAATTGTTTGATTCTGACTAAATGTCATATAATCTGACTACTTCCAAATCAGATGCCTAGTGCTCTAGGCCTAATATACTGAGCTCCCAAACTTGTCTTATTTATAATCGTCAGTGCTGCATTTGCACTATTGTAAAAAGCACTGATTTTGATGCTGTTCTTGTCATTTTATTTTTTTGTTTTTGGATTGTCACTGGTTACATTTTAGTTATATTGTATAAAAATATAGGTTTAATTTTGCACGTTGCCTGGCTTTTAATTATATATCAGTATCTATATCTAGACAAAGATACCCCTTCAACCTTAAATATGCTGTTTTTTCATGTTGGAATTCAGAGTGTTTGTTAAATAGAAAGTTATTGGTCACATATGCCTGAACCCTGCTTTTCTATGGAGAACTGTGCCCTATCTTTTCCCTTGTTTGGGATATCCAGGTGTTTAGCTTTAACAGAAATTACTGGAGCAGGATTGGATTAATAAGGATGAACTAGGGAAAAGTTAGGGGGAAAGGCTTCAGCAAGGAATCATAGTAAATGCATACTAGAAATGTACTTTAGGCATAAAAGGTATTCTGTAAGTAATGGTGTCACAGGGTGCAAAGCAAACTATGTGAAGAGGCTTAAATTCTTGTAATGATTGGAACTTAGAAGGGAAATGGTTAACTTTTTAAAGCAACTGATGTTTTTTAAATTTGGTCAATGCAAAGCAATAAGATCCTGGCAAAGGCATTGCAATGTTAGACAAAGATATAATGGATAAAAGTGAATGCCACTAAAAAGGATAATATAATAAATGAGAAGGAACCTTGGGCATGAATATATGTTTGGACACTTGGGGGTTAAAGTGAGTACTGACTGTGTTACTAGCATCTGTTCATGTGGCAGATATGTCTAATATCTAAAGAATATTCGTTTATTGGAATGTAAAGCAAAATCAGTATATTTTATTTGGTAATAGAAGCCGAGTCTTTCAAAACCATGGGTGAATTCTTAGGAATTGCACCATAGGCTAAAGATTAGTAAATTAAGATAGGGCAAAATAGGAGATGACAGGAGGAGGAGGGAGAACTGAGGCCGAAGCTGAGAAGATGCATAGAAAAGCTTTATGCAAAGCCCTGGGACCCTCTATTTTAATAGCAAGTGTAGGGAAGGAAGAGATTGGATCCCCATAATCTCTCTATGGCTCAAATCTGGATCTACTTGCACCTAAACCTCCTTGCCTTCCCCAGAATGATGCCCTCCAGACGTTTTAGGCTGCAGCCTTCACCATTCCTGAATGTTGGCCATGATTGGTAGAGCTGAAGTCTAAAACACCTAGAGGATTCCAGATTGGGGAAATCTCTGCTGGGCCTTGAAACAAAATAGTAACAAGTTTGGGCCATGTTCCTAATGCCCTTATGCTCAAAATAAATAGTGAAGGAATTATTTTTGCTAAAGTTACCAGATTGAAATGTGAAAAATTGTGATCTGGATGTGGAAATGGTAGGTGCTAGTTAATAGGAGAAGTAGTATGTTTTATGTTTCAAACTAAGGTATTCTCTACAGTCCCAGATGGCTGCTTCTACAACTGCTGTTTGTATTTCTGTGATAAAAAATTTAAACCAAGTTTTATGGAGTACCAAACCAATAAAACCACAATGATTGTCTAAACTGCTTAAGTTCTTATCTCTGGCAACATATGTGAGAGCTTTAACTGTTACATTCACAGTGGCCTTGGAAAACGGAATATCTTTGCTGAGAATGCATGGTTATATTGAACAGCTAAGCTCCAGAAGTCTGCTGAAATTTAGTTGATACTCCCCCCAATGAACATAATTATTTGACCCTCATAAGTTAAGGAGGAAGGTTGTGGGTGAGCATTTTCCCTGACAGTTGTAGCTGAGCACTGTCTCTGACATACTGTTTGTCCTTTTCTCAAGCAAGTATCTCTGATGTGGGGAGTGTTCAAATATACATGGTTAAAACAGTATAAAGTGTCAACAGGGATGTACCATAGATTTTTTGGAATGTTCAGAAAAGTATTACTGCACTCAGATTTCCAAAGCCAAGGGTCAGATTGTTTTCTCATAAGGCAGAAAGTAAATGTTTATATTTAATAACCATCATAAACTGTTTTAATTTAAGAACTGAGGAAAATGCAGTTCACAATTAAGGGAAGTCATCATTATACTTGACTTTTGCATAGGGAGCCACTGTGTTGTAATGCTTAGAGTATCGGAGTAGAACTGGGGAGACTTGGGTTCTAGTCCTCACTCTGTTATAGGTCACTAGATGGCTTCAATCCAGTTACAAACTCTTAGTCTAGCCCACCTTATAGAGTTGTTATGAAAAGAAAATTCACAGGAAGATGGTGTATGCTGGCTTAGGCTCTTTGTTATATTTATGTCCTGTTATTTCTCCAGATACATAAAGAAATAGTGCTTTTGAGTGTTCCAGACATGTTTATATATTTTATTATTATAGGCACCCTGTAAGATAGTAAGGTGGCATTACCCTCATATTGGAAGGCTGAGAGTGCAGGTTGCCTATGGTCACCTATTGGGTTCATAGCAAAGGTGAAATTTGCTTCTTGATTTATACTCAGTCTCCTAGCTGCCATGGTACACCATGATATATTAGTTCATCCAGGTAGGCTTAGTGGATTTTTGAAGCAAAATATTGGTGAGCTGGCTTTTCTTAGAGCCATAGATTGGGATCCCTATCCTGTTCAAATATTTGCCCTTCCTTGAAGCTCCAGTATAAAATATATTATGTATTTATTTATCTTACTGGATTTCTAACCCACCCCATTAGCCACACAGCTCCCTGGACAGGTTATAAAAACTATAAATACAATATAAAAACATAACACACCAATTATAATAAAACTTTAAAACAATAAAATAATGAATTAATACATATGCATCCACTGACAAAACTAGTAATTTCATTAAAAGGCATACCCCGTTATTAAAATGCCATTAAAACAAACTAACAATTAAACAGTTTTAAAAAGCCAAAATATTGGCATCCTAACTTGGTTTTAAATTGGAACATTTGCTAAATAAAATTGTAGAAGATTTTAAACTCTTAACATTAAAATTTCATTGGTGTTCTTAAAATTAATTTTTTGTTTAATGCCTCCCATCATCTTTTAACCTCTGTTAGTAAATTATATTTGGCTTTACAGAAGACTTCAGGGAATCTGAGGCTAATAGGGTACTGAGCATTCACATGAGCTAGGGCTGGGTGTTTTATGCGTAGCTTAGGTAGCATTCAGGAGTGCCCAGGGTTGGGAATGAGGATGTGTAGTCATTTGACAATGTAGTGTATGGGGTATTCTTGCTTAGAACAGGTGTTTGGACAATGAAACAATGGAGACTTCCAGCTCTTCTGTGATTATGTCACTGTACTCATGGACTTAATTTGCATACTTTTTAATTCTGAGAGGATCATGCTCTTAATTCTTGTAAGCTGTTTCCCAGATATGTGAGTGAGTGCAGTGCCTGGCTAAATCATTGGGGTGCCGGGTTTTAGTGGGGCTTTCTGTGAAAGAGGACTGCACCATTATTTTGTACATACTTTTCCACCATAGAAACTACGCTATGCAGCTACAGCTCACATATTCACAAAAATCAAATCTATCTTTCTTTCTCTGCCTATACTTCGTTAAATCTTATTTTGGGGATTTAAAATGAAAAATATATTTGACTAATAGATTTAATTTGCAATCATAGATATATAATGTGGGGAAAGCTCCATGAATGACATAAGGTAAAGGAGTCCCTGCAGATTTTACTCTGCTTAGTCAGTGGCTAATAGGGGGTGAGGTTCATCTCAGTTTCTAAGGCTGTGAGCCAGCACTGTCCGAAGATGATCCCATGGTCATGTGGCCAGCATGACATCACGGAGGGCTGTTACCTTCTCACTGAAGTGGTACCTAGTTATCTACTCACATTACATGCTTTGAAATGCTAGGTTGAGTAGGAGCTGGGGTGAACAATGGGAGTGTACTCCCATCTCGCTGGAGTGGACAGTTTCAGTGTCATTAAGCTACTGTGCCAACATTTCTCCATATGAATGACAGAGAAAAGATATAATTTCAATAAGGGATTCTGTGGCTCTAATCTAAGCCTCTTTAGCAAAAATATGCTGCTAGTTTCCCTATGACTGCTCTTGACAAGCTGACAGAGCTGTTTAGAAATGCCAAAAACTATCACAAACTAAGTAAGAAGTGCTTGAAAACTGAAGGCTGTTTTCCTGGCCAGTGTTTTAGATTCCATTTTTCTAACTAGGATATGAAGCCCTTTTCTTGAAAGTGTGTAAACAGTATAGCAAGGCTGTCTTAGAAAATATGAGTTTAAAATTAGTCTGTTGTACCAGAGCAGCTCTAGTTAACTCTTGTTTGCTTTATGCAGGTACCAGTTAGAGCAGAAAGAGAAAGCTTTCAACCTTGCCTCTTCCCCACTCTCTAAAAAACTTTCAAAGTTCTACTTTTATAATCAGACCTCTATTTCTCTATGTGTTTATGCAATTCCCAACTTTGAGAAACAGTTTGGAATTACATCATGCACTAGAGCTGGGTAATTCCTGAGATTCCCCGGGAATAAAAGACAGTATAGAATTTTTTTTTAATTAAAGCAATTTTTAAAATTACATTTCTGTCAAGTGATGGTTAAAGAGATAGTTTGCACAGTCAACAGAAAGATGATAGAGTTCTGAGCTGGCAGAATGAATTCATATTTTTGTGCAAGAGGGAATGTTGCTTAAAAATGTTTGTACACACTTAAAAGTCCCTAATATAAATTAATTTAGCCCAGTAGATAATGGGATTTATAGAGATTTCCTCTGCTAGTGTTTCTTTT